ATCAAGTTGAAAAGATGCATGAATGATGTATTTATAGTTGTGGAAGTTTATTGGCAAATAGGTAATTTTTGGAATTAAAACAATATGAAAAATTGACCGAAACAAACAGTAATTGTTGGCCTGAAATACGAATGTGTCGGCACATAAATCTAGAAACAATAGTATGTGCCGACCTAAAAAGGCTTATGTGCTAGTCTGTGACAAACTGAAGCTGCAGGCTTCATTATTAAAGCTGATGTGTTAGCCTGAAGGTCGTATGTGTCGGCACATTAAATTAAAACTTACAGTAAGTGTTAGCTTGAAGACTACATGTGTTGGCATGTATCAAACAGGAGTTATAGGCTTTGTTATTGAGTTACATGTGCTGGCCTAAAATCGTATGTGACTCCACATGCAAGTGATTTTTGTATAGACAACGAATTTTCATGTTTTTGGCCATTTTCAAAGTAGTTTTGAATGATTCCTAAGATCTCTAATACAAGGGTGCACCATATAACATAGAGATATCATCCAATATACAGAAATGCTAAATTTTCCTAGTTTTGACATCATACAAAACATCTAATGGATAAGTTGCACTCACATTTCGTTGGTTAGCGGATTTGTATAAAAAAACTTGGAGATAATCGAAGACTCAAAAACTAATGATCTTTGGGTTGACTACCACAGGGAATGTGACCTGAGGTGCTTCTTCCTATTCGTGGTTTGCACGTTCATGTTTGTAGACAAAAGTGAAAACTATTTAGATGTGGCTTACCTCAAATATTTTTATCGAGTTGGAGTCAATTCACGAGTAAAATTGGAGGGAAATATGCTTGATTTACCTGTACTCCAATCTGAGCAAAGATTGTAATTGGACGCCAAAGCAAATAACAGACTCATGCACTCTGCTTACGGTAATTTCCAAATCACAGTTTTAAATTACAAACAACTTTTTTCACACTTGTTACTAATATTTTTTCCCTTGTTCGTTTTCAGAGATGGATCCTTGTCCACTATCATCGTATTCACGGGTTCAAATGCGACTCGTTGTATACTGAGGATTATCCAGTTGCTTTTCAGTTTACCCCTAACATAGGGAATGATGGTATCTTGTTGTTATGTGTGTATGATCGAACTCAGCTTGATGATGTCGTTTAGTGTCATACACTACTCACCGGGATAGAATTCAATTCGACCATATTTTCATATACTCTAGATGGTTGGCATGTGGAACTAATATCATGTGCAAGTATCTTCCAGAGCGGTTAATGCAATAGTTTGAGTTCATGCAGATCGTTCTGAGGTCCCTCTCTAGGCTGCTCCTATCACTATTATCTGCATAGAGTTGGATGATATTCTAGCAGATTTAGAGAGTCGTCTAGTATCGATGGAGTATCGGAGTCATGAAACCACAGATCAATGGTCTTATGTGGAGGGTTACATAACATAGTTCTACAGAGTGTCACACTCTTACATGACACATGACGCTCCTGGACGTCCACCTAGGCCTGCTCATGAGGAGATCCTGGAGAATGAGCAGGTCATGGATGATCATGTCATTGACGTCTTGTCAATCTGTCACAATATTATGCGGGTGACAAAAGAAGACATCGATTATTGACTCTTCGAGAGAAGTGGCGATGAAGGGGTTTCTCTAACATGTTCCATTCTGTTCAAGACACGAAATGCCTCAGGTTACCGTAGGCAGAGGAGGAGCCGAAGTGTTAGGATTAGACATACTCAGTAGACTATATTTTTTATTGTATTGTGTTTATTTTCATCGACTTGGAGAAAAATTATTGTAGTATTATAATCTTTCTGATATTCATTTCTATAATATTCAGTTTTATTAACGCATTACTCAGTTTCATGATATTCATTTTTATTTATCATTGAAACAAATAACGGCAATGTTACTCGTATTCAGTTTTATTAACGCATTATTCAATTTCATAATATTCATTTTTATTTATCGTTGAAACAAATCACGGCAATGTTATTCGAATTAAATTTAGTTTGGATTGAAAACACCATAATATTAGCAAACTGATTCTGAAAATAAAACCCAAACAATAATTCGAAGATGCATGCCGAATTTACTCTAAAATAGTTCAAATATAAAATTGGGTGGCTATTTGATTTAGTAAGGACGAAAGGTGACTTCGGAGATGTATTTGCGAATTAACTCTAAGGTAAATTTGGAGATGCATCTCCAAACTAAATTTATCAAACTAAATTTATGTTAAAATTGATATTTTGTGTGTTCGAAAATACATCTCTGAATTTACCCAAAAATATTTTTGAATTTTCAGAGATGTGACTCATTATACAAGAGTGCAATGAGATATTATCTAAATTTTAGAGTTGCTCTTTTCACTTTACTGCCGTAAAATCTCATAAATATCTGTAACATCTGAAGGTATCTTTTTTACACACCCTTCAGCATAAATTAATGAATAGTTTTTATTTTATTATATTCTAATCTGAAAATACATCTATGTAAACTTCACTGAAGAATTTTTTTCAAAATGCATTCCAACTGAGCAAGTCAAGAGATTATTTCATCACTGAAGAATTTTTTTCAAAATGCATTCCAACTGAGCAAGTCAAGAGATTATTTCAACATAAAAGATATGTGAACACCGAAGTTGACACCAACACCGTGTGTGTATATATATATATATATATATATATATATATATATATATATATATATATATATATATATATATATATATATATATATATATATATATATATATATATATATATATATATATATATATATATATATATATATATATATATATATATATATATATATATATATATATATATATATATATATATATATATATATATATATATATATATATATATATATATATATATATATATATATATATATATATATATATATATATATATATATATATATATATATATATATATATATATATACGGTTTCAACTTTTTTAATATTTATTTCTCCCTCTTTTTATATGGGAGATGAATGTAAGAGATACGGTGTCTATACCAGGTGTCCATTTTGGATGTTGATATATCACGGCTCTTATTTCAACCGCATGACTCAACAACAAATCTTGTAATAATGACTTGCCATATTTCATTGAATTCTGTCTCACATCATTGAGAAAACACAAACCATCTAACAGATCATTGATTGAATTGTATACTACTTAAGAAATTGTAGTTTTACCGATTCGACTGCTTTCCCATATCTCTATCATGTGGACTACATCATCAGAATGAATATTTAAAATAAAATAAAAAATATCTTACTTTACCACGTCTGAATGGAAGCGGAAGTTTGATATTGCCATAAGAGAAGTGAAATTTGCTCCCGAGAAAGTTCAGGGGCGCACAAACAAGTACACATAAGTTTTCAAAGATAAAACAATTTATACTGTACATGTAAAAGTAATTTAAATTTATTTTATCTTTTGTTAAAGAAATAGTTTATGCAAACTTTTCATAGATGTTTATTTTGATAAACACTTGTGCTATAAGCTCCAAAATAAGTTGTTTATCCAAACTGGTCCCTAGAAAATATGAATACATGTTGCATTAACATCTATCTTCTAGAATAGATGAATTACAAGAATCATAGTTTCAATTTTAAACCAATATCTCCATTTGTGTTTCTTCTTCTATTCAACCTCCACAAATCATAATAACAGCATAATATTATAACACCGTAAGAAGTCAATATAGATGAACTTAAACTAAAATATTGGAGTCTTCTAAGAATCTGCATTAACAAAAATGTCAACTTAAAATATTGGAGTCTTCTAAGAATCTGCAAATGCGAAGATTAAAGATTAAATTGACACTACAAAAAGCCAGTGAGTAGTAATAAAGCTAAGCATGTCAACCTTCACTGTCAAAATTTTACTCCATCTCGATTTTATATTAGCTCATGTGGTTGGAAATCACAATACCTAATTAAGTACCCAATCCGGCGACCTTTCCTGAAATCGGCAAAGGCGCAGTAAAGTCAGTCAACCTTCAACATGGAAGCTACAAGGTTAATTCCAGTTTTCAACAAAGAAAGAGACAAATAGAGATATAACGATGCATTACATGAATGAAAAAACAACTACCAATATATCTGATAAGAAAAACATTACCACTTGGAAGAAACCAGAACAAGGAAGGAGCAAAGAGGTAACTTTCAATACAAGACAGCATTTTTGTTTGTTAGAATATAAAATTATTTGCACCAAAATGAACAAGAAGCACAAACATTAGTTAGTCATTAGAATGGCATGTTTTTTAGTTAGAATAACTACAAAAGTCACCACCAAAATAACGATAGCATGAAACAAGGGAGTTACAAGGTAAATAGGGTTGGTTTGAAGGAAGAGACATGGGTTGATGCGTTGAAGAGGTTATGAATTCAACTCTCCAGTTAAAAAGTCTCACATCGAACAACATATGGCTTAAACGTGTGCTTATAAGTGGGCGCAATCTTCACCCTACAAGTCGGTTTTGTAAGATTGAGTTAGGCTCAACCACAATTCTTAACATGGTATCAAAGTTTGGTTTCCGCTATTGGGCCGGCCACCATTTAATTCCACGCTCCAGGTGTCCCCTCCTGGACGTGAGGGTGTGTGTTAAGTCTCAATCGGACAATATATAGCCTGAACATGTGCTTATAAGTGGGGGCAATCCTCACCCTACTAGCCGGTTTTGTAGAGTTAGTTAAACCCAACCACAATTCATAACATGACATAGATATCACAAACAAATGAACATTGTTATAAAAATAAAACAAGAACATGAAACAAAGACATAAACCTTTGTGAAGACAGCCATTATTACTTTGACCATATGATTAACAGCTCTCAGAAACAAGAAAATGGATGATACTCGTCTAAATAGGAGAGGATTATAATCACATTTGTAATCAAACAAACAAAAAGGACTAAAATAATCACCTGATATGCATGTACAATTAGTACATGGCTAGAAGAAGAGTATTGAATTTGGCCAATCTAAGTGGGAACTCCAACTAAATCAAACGAGTCCTCTTTTAGAATCTTCCATTTGATCAACCTCTGATGCAAAGCACTAGCCTCTTTTACCATACCCCCATAAGCAAGAGCCTTAATTAAAGTATCATATATTTTTCCATTCGGCTTGCATGGACATTTGACCATCAATTCAAGAGCTTGAATTGCAATATCAAGCTTCTTTTGCCTACACAATCCTAGGATAACACATCTATAAGATTCAATTTTAATGGTTTGTCTTTCTCTATACATCACTTTCAATAGCTCCACCGCTTCTTCAAATCGATATACCCGGCATAGAGCCCCTATCAAAATACGGTGGGTAATTGCATCTGGTTTAATTCCTTTTTCCACCATTTCCCCATACATTTCTTGTGCTGATTTTGTAGACCTCATTCTAGCCAACCCATCAATTACTGTGTTATAAGTGACCAATCCAGGAGAACAGTTAGTACCGGACAAAGTGCGAAGTAATTGAATGCTCTCATCTATAAATCCTTCTTTACATAAAGCATTCAGAAGTGTATTGTAAGTTATAATGTCCGGTGAACAGTTCTCAGAAACCATTTTGACATATAAGCTAATGGAACGGTCCAGGGATCCAGATTTACATGAACTACTCAACAGAATATTGTAAGTAACAAGTGAAGGTGAAATGGAAGTCTCATTCATAATCTTAAAAATATCATCAACTACATCTGAATGCCCATGGCAACTAAGAGAGTGCATAAGGTTACTGTATGTCACAACATTCGGTTTCAACCCACGGGATAAAAGATTGGAAATAACCAAAGCAGTATCTTCATAATTCCCCTGTTTAGAACTAAAACTTACAAGAAAATTGTACATAGTGATATCGGGATAGCAACATTCCCTTGCCAAATCCTCCATTACTTCAAGGGCTTGAGAAGTCCCACAATGTCTACAAACCTGCTTAATAAGGAATGCATATGTCATCAAATAAGGAGGGAACCCTTTTCTCAACTGATCCTTCCAAAAACTAACAGCAAAATTATAATCTCCTTTATCAAATATGCAACGAATTATTGTATTATAAGTAATTGCATCTGGGGAGCATCCACTCATGCTCATATCTTCAAGCAATTCAAGAGCAGATTTCAAATTACCTCTTTTACAAAGACTTCCAATAACCATGTTGAATGTAATTGTATCAAGAACACCACCAGACATAACCATTATATTAATGATTTTGCAAGCTTTGTCTACCCGACCAGAATTGACTAAACCTCGTATCAAATTCGTGCAAGAAGGAAAATGAGGTATTTGGCCTTTACGTGCCATAGTATCAACCATTATTGCAGCAGCCGTTAACTTTCCACTATCGCAAAGCCTCTGAAGAGTCTTATTGTTGACAGTCTCATCATTTTTAACATACGGTCCCTCTGACGACGAAGTTGAAGAGTTAAGAAACTTGCCTGAATCCACCCGCTCACTAGATTCTCTCCATTTGCCAGTATAACTCTCAAAGCAGGAAACCGCATGGTCAACTTCATCTACTCTATCACTTGAAACGGTAGCGTATATACTTCTACACCGCAATCCTTTCCGAGACGAGCAACATCTATTAGTAGAAAAACAATCACCCGTAGAAATTTGGTGCAATGTAGACATCTTTTTCCTTGAGCTAAGATTAGAAGTCGTGCCAAAAACACAACTCCCTTGATTGTTTCGATCATGCAGATCATTCCAAGAGTGAAAGTTGAAACTCTTAGGTTGGAAAGAAGTTGTGTAACTCATCATTCTTGTTGATGTATACAATCTCTGAAGCTGCAAAGATAGGATATATTATTTGGAATCTCTAGTAAAAATCATTTCTAATCAGCATACTTGACCCAAAAAGAAACCTCTCTAACACTAACACCCCCGAAAAAGATGTGTATTTGTGTCTGTGTCAGTGTCGGTGGCATACTTGACCCAACAAAAACCTCTCTAACACTAACACCTCCGAAAAAGATGTGTGTATGTGTCTGTGTTTCCGGTGTCCACATATCATAGAAAAAAAACTGCAATTCTTGTAGAACCCTATAGTGATAATGATAATATAAAAGAGGATTTACGGTCAACGATAAAGATTTGAATTTGTTGATACATAACAAAATACAAATCTGAAGCGATTGGTATTATGAATTATGATTATTGATATAAACTATCAAAGCAAGTATTTCTTCTATGGTTTGGCGCTATGAAGTGATTCAAAACTAATTTTACACGCAGGTTGCAAAAATAAAATATAAAGGAAATTATAATGATTTTGTGCGAAAGAGGAAAACCTGGACGAACACTCTCTCTCTCTCTTTCTCTGTTAATGGCCGCAGACGAAACACTCCCACGCTGCGTTGAGTTCAATGAGACTCTAACAAGGGTAAAACGGTTGCCATTTTTTTTAATGGAACCGCTCAATTTTGTTGGTTTTTTAATTGTTAAATTTTTAAAAATATCGTAATTTTGTTTTTCTTTAATACGCAACTCTTTTTTTTTTTGTGTGTGTGTGTGATTAATGGTAGATTTCGGTTCAAAGTGAAGTAGGTTGGGGTTTTGATGTTGTGATTAAAACTTTAAATTATTAGAAAAACTTTAAATTAAAATTTTTTAAATTAATTTCAAAAAATTTAATCTTTTAATTTAGATTTATTTTTGTTTAAAGCAATGTGTACTAGGATAATATTATGAGTTATGCTATGTTGTACACCATATATATACTTATACTGTATGTATGCAATTGTTTTAGCTTACACGGATTCCAAAATGATACAAAAAATTATTTAAGAAATGCCAAGTATATACTCATGGTAAGAAAGGATAATCCATGAGAAACTCGGACAAGCAAGCAAAAGTGGCATATTTGAAGTTCTTCGGTTGGATTCTCGGACAAGCTCGTGTTAACGAAGGGTCATATAACACTTAAAACGGCGTTTAGATTGGACGATAATACAAAGACGATCAAGGACAAGTATCTCCTAGTAGAGGCTCATTCACCCATACTAATCAAAAGGAAATTTTGGACAGTTCAAAGGGACTAAGCAACCACCTAAGAATGTTACTAAAGTAGTCTTGAAATAAGAAAAACAGAGGTAGTCGCAGTCGCGATCGATTAGGAGTTGTACATTTAAAGAGTGCGGGCTTCATATCTAAGATCAAATATCAACATGGTTGGCTAAAGTGATCCTAGTTTGAAAGTCATCAAACAAATTGTGAATGTGCGTCAATTTTATAGGCTGTCTATCCATACAAGAATAAATATTTCAGAGCCTTATTTTTCCCATGAATAACAAGGTGGAAGCATCATATTTATGAATATAGACAAAAATAGACGATGTGTAGCATAACCCTCCCCCACCCCTCAACATTGTTATAACTGAAAAACTAGGTTAGTCTAACTCTGTTTTTGAAGTTGCGTGTTAAAAAAAGCGGAATGAGCATTCAAAAAATATGAATGTCTTGTGGTCATTTTCTCTCTTATGATATCTCATCCTTGAAGGATTTTAATGGTAGTGATTGTGCCCCTCTCTCCATCTAATGAAGGTCATTTTCCTAGATTCTTTAGCGTCTCTATTCAGTTGAGCTAAAAGTGAGGTAGGGTCACTAAAGAAAGGGACAGTTTTTATTCTAATGCTTGTTTAAAACACTAATGCTATCGATTTTCAAATATTTTCCTGTTTTGCAATACAACCGTATAGCATTTGGCCTCAGACCAAAGATATAACGAAATACTACTCTTCATAGCATATGGAAGGGCAAAATAAATAAACAAGTCACCAGTATGGTATGTACAAAATAGTTTGTCAATATATTGAGTGGCCTGAGGCATAACTTAACTAAAGGTTTTATACATGATCTTTAAATAGGACATTCTTGGGAAAGAAAATCCAGAGAACCTTCAATTTGTTACATTGGAACTACATTTCAGATGAAAAATTGGATCATTTGAAAACAATGTTCTATTAGATAACCCGAATTATACAGGTTCTGGACTATTTTCACTTGTGGAGGATACTCTTCCTTGACATTTTTGGTTTCTTCTGAATATGGTTCTGCGATGCAAACAACAAATTATTTAAGTTAGAAATACAAGAGAATGCATTAACAAATTTGAAATCATAAGACAAAATAAATTGCTACCTTCTGTTTCTCCAGTGCATCATAATCAGTTCTCTCTCTCCACTTACTCTTACGTAGTTTTATTGGCCGGTTTCCGACATATTTACCTGAAAACAACATATCAAAATCAGGGTACTCAAGTTATTGCAACAACAACGATACTCAGCGGTTCGTCAAACTAGATGAGAAGTTATTTAGATCAATGACTGCATAATGTCCGATGGATCATTTAAAAAAAATAGACCATATAACTCCGAACTTCCCTTAATGATTTGACTCTTACTTATCAGTGTTTGTGGTGCTTCTATTCTATAGACGATTTCCACACTTGACCAAACCACCCAGAACAAGATTCTGTCAGGTTTTATACAATGGGAACTACTGATACCTTCTCTTGGCTGGTGTGGCCAATCATCTATAGTAAAATTGCTATCTAAGCAACATTGACCTTGTTTCTTGTTGGCTTATTGACATGACAGAGTTCAATGATGGGATTGGATAATGCCATGGAGCCATTTATTAATTTATGTACAAAAGAAACAAATTTCCATCACAATCCATTTTTATGTAACTGCATGTATGACCGGGTCTGCAAAGTATTTTCACACCATATTTTAAATTTATGATTCCAAACCTTGCCGTTGAATTTGGCAAAATTGTATACCCTAATTTAAGTCATTATATCTGATTCTTGTAAGTTGTGTGGAACTATATGCACTAAATAAAAGCATATATTTAGACAAGACATAATAATACTTAAACAAGCAGGATCTGTTGATTTTGGCAAACCTACATTGCTAACTTAAAAGTCGATATTATCTGACATTACACAATTTACATTGAAATATTGAACCAAAGCACATATTTAGGCATGACATAGTAATACTTAAAATAGAGGTTATGCATGCGATTTTAATAAAAGGGGGTCATCAGAAGAAAAGAAAGCAGATACACACGACATAATGAGAGAAAAGATGTTCATAGAAATCTGTAAATTACTGACCATTCATTTCTTTAAGAGCAGCAGCAAGGTCAGCAGGGTTAGCAAAGCTTATAAATCCATAACCCTTTGTTTTTCCAGTTCGCTTATCTCTAACAACCTAGACAAGATCAAAGATACCTTAATCACAGCAAATTACAAAGAGAACACATGCACCACAAACATATTAGCAAATAATAAACACAAGGTTAGATAGCAGACTAGCAAAATGTGTAAATTAAATACAGCGGACAGACTTCCACATAAACAAAAGTTCTGCATATGAATTTAAGTAAATCTCCTCTCCACTCTCAAATAACACACACTATTCTTTCCAGTAACAAAATTTAGAGCAATGAAACACTAAGTCGCAAAAAGAGCTACTAAACACATGTTCATATATTTATTATTTATTATTTATTAATCTATATTTTTTTTGTAAATGATGGCCATACAGAATACAGATTCTGATTGGCTTCAAGTTTCAACAGATTTGATGTAATGTGCAGGTTATTCAGTATCCACATACCTTGACACAATAACCAGTCAACAAACAGAACTATATTTGGGAGTGCTTATGGAAACAACTTATGGCAGCTCATAAGTTGTTTTCAGTGTATTCTCTATGATAGCTCATGCAATCAACTTATAGCATATAATAAAACAATGACTTTTTTTCATCTATTTTGTAGAATAAATGCGACTAAAAGTGCTAAATTATGTTGTTTATCCAAACAAGGTTATATCATTGAACGAATACCACGACATTTTCTAGGGGAAGATACTAACTGGTGTCCAAACTAGTAATTTTATATCCAGCTAACAAAAATGAGAAAGTCAACCTGACTCCAACTGACTTTTGAGATGCCAAAACAAAACAAAACAAACAATAGACACAACACTAATTTAAAACAAATCGAGCATTTAAATTTAAGCACGTTTGACTATGTCACCATTTAATAATTTTGAGTGCCCCTGATTTGTGAACCATGAGCAAAGATGAAGGAAACCCTGAGATGACAAAATAATGCATCAATTTAATCATACAAAATGCCTGATAAAATGTAAATTATGAAGCACGACCTACCTTAAGATACACAAATCATTAACAACTCTGTCCCTTCAAACACAAATCTGAGAAGGAAATACAAAATGCTAAAACTAAACCAACCATTACTAAGAGCATAAGAATTTAAGTTAGATAAGATGTCCACTTACCCTTGCCATGTTAAAGGAAGGGAATCGTGTGAATGCCTTCGAAAGAACATCATCATTGACTTCATTACCAAGATCACCGCAGAAGAGTCGATAGTCATCTGATTTTACAAAGCAGTAAAGAAAAATCAGTCTATGAATAGTTATCTATCTTTTGCAAATGTCACATAGAGAGAATGAGATACTGCATGTATGCATAAAAAACATCGTAGCAACTCCTAAAAAACACAATCTATCACCAAATGAACAGTGCTCATCATAAGAACAAGAGAAGACCAAGGGAATGGTTAAACTCCAAGTATAAATGTTACAAGAAAATGATAATGATGAGTCATGAAGAGAGATGAAATAGAAATATAAGATAGCCAACTTCCAAAGTGCATAAATCTCATAAACAAGAGATTGGACTGGAAAATAAACTTCAGGTCCCTACACCAACAACTTT